CCAGGTGTGTAGATGGTGGAGCGGCGGGCCACCTTATGTCCCAGGGAGTCCCCATGTCTGTGTTCCCTTCTGGATCTCCCTTTTAGTTATGCTGTCATAGCTAGTCTCGCTCGAGTCCCTGCTTTCACTCACGCAAACTACATTGTCCTTAACCAATACACATACATTTCTCTCTCTCTCTCTCTCTCTCTCTCTCCTCTCTCTCTCTCTCCCTCTCCTTCTCTCTCTCTCCCTCTTTCTCCTCTCTCTCTCACTCTCTCTCTCCCTCTCTTTCTCTTCTCTCTCTCTCTCTCTCTCTCTTCTCTCTCTCTCTCTCTCTCTCTCTCTCTCTCTCTCTCTCTCTCTCCCTCTCTCTCTCTCCCTCTCCTTCTCTCTCTCTCTCTCTCTCTCTCTCTCTCTCTCTCTCTCTCTCTCTCTCTTCTCTCTCTCTCTCTCTCAGGTCAGAGCAGTACCTGGTGTAGTAAAGGTCAGGATGCTCTTTATCTCTAAGCTGAAGGACAGTGTTTATAACAGCGCTGCACGACTGCACAGTTTCACACCATGCAGAGGAACCGGGGGCTCTTTATGTTCTGTTTAGCTCTTATATGTGTGTGTGTGTGTGTGTGTGTGTGTGTTATTTCCTACTGTTCAGAAGTTGGTTAGAAGTTATTTAAAGGCCTCAAACTTACTCATGAGGACTTGTGTCTCTAATTGGCTGCCACATTACTTCTCATTTACATAAAGTTTATGAATGACATTACCTAGACCTGTGTGTGTGTGTGTGTGTGCGTGTGTGTGTGTCAGTGTGAGAGCAGAAGGGGATGATGGGATATACTGTCCTACCATTCTCAGGGTGTTCGATCTCTCCGATGCTGCCGTCCGGAGTCGTCCTCTCATAGTGATCCTCGGGCAGCGCCAGCGGTCCAATCCTTGGTCCAGAAGAACTTTTACTACTTGGTGTTTCTGATTCGTCCAGTCCGCTGTCATAGTAACTGTGCTGGGAGGAGTCCTGCAGATCCTGAGCCTGATTAGCTGTCGAGAAGGTCACACGGCGGTGCGGCAGCTGTGATTGGACAAAGAGCCAAAGAGAAAGGTGTTACAGGAACACGTCTTTATATTTCCTGTTATATTTGTGTGGGTGTATTAAAACAAAAAAATGTAAAGGGTTTACATGGGCTGACACACACAATATTGTGAATGTGTAGTGAACAGTCGCAGTGATGGTGCGTGATTTTGGAAATTAGAGAACGGTAATGATCTGAGATTCTCTCACAAACACATGTCGGCCATTTTGGCTCCTCACTTCAGGAATAATGTTCTCAATCCTATCAATCCTCTATCGCACAGACACACACACACACACACACACACAGACACACACCATGCTGGCAGAACTTATTGAGCAGAGCAGCACATGTGTGTGTTAAACACACTGCGAGGCAGAACACACTCCGTTACAATGGAAACAGACAGCTCACAAATTGGCATCCGGAGTGAGACAAAGACCCACACACATACATACACACACACACATACACACACACACACACACACACACACACACACACACACACACACACACACATACACTGTCCCTCAGCTCCTCCTTTCCAGCACTAATAAATCTCTTTCTCCCTGCACTGCTTCTCCTGCTGTGAGGATCTCCACACGCTAAACTGCTTTTAACCTCCACACTGAATTAGAGCTCTGAGTGCATGTCCACCTACAACACACATACACACACACTTACACACACACTCACACACACACTCTCACACACTCTCACACACAGACGAAAGTAAAAGAATGGACACAAAACAAGTAGGCTATAAAACTTAGACAAGGAAAAAGCTGCCACAAGTGTGTGTGTGTGTGTGTGTGTGTGTGTGTGTTTGGGAGGGGGGGCTAAAAAGCTCCTCTATTCCCTCTTATCATGTTCTGCTGCTGTTTGCCTCCAGCAACAGCACTACACCAAAAAAACCACCTCTCTCTCTCCCCCTCACTCACTCTCTCTCATTCTCTCGCCCTCTCACACCCCCCCCCCCCCCCTCTTTCTCTCTCTCTCTCAAGCTTCAAGTAGCTTTATTGTCAGGGCAAAAGGCTTTACATTTCCAAAGCATTCTTTTATCCATTCAGTCGTATCCGACTCTTGGTGATCCGATGGATAAAGTTCCTCCAATGATCTCGGTCCTTGATGACATTCTTCAAATCTTGGAATCGATTGTTTATATTTTTCTTGACAGCATCCAACCACCTTGATCTTGGTCTTCCTCTTTTCTGTTTTCCTTCCATCATTCCAAGCATAATGTATTTTTTTCCAGGGAGTTTGCTCTCCTCATTATGTGACCAAAATATTCAAGCTTCCGTTTGATCATGAATAGTTCCAGTGAAAGTTCTGGCTTGATTCGGTCTAGAATTGATTGGTTTGTTCTTCTGGACATCCAGGGAATGCGGAAAAACCTCCGCTAATATCAGAGTTCGAAGGAGTGCGTTTTTTTGATGATCCTTTTTCTTGATTGTCCATCTTTAGTATCCGTACTTCGCTAAAGGAAAGACCACTGCCTAGATGATTCGTATTTTTGTTGTCAAAGAGACGTACTTGAACTTCATCAACTTGTCAAGGTTCATCATTGCTTTTCTTCACAGGAGTAACCGTCTTCTGATTTCAGGGCTGCAATTGCCATCTCGACATACTTGCAATCCCAGGAAAGTAAAGTCTTTAGCCATCTCTTGTTCATCCTCATCAATCCTGAGGCTTTGTAAGATTCCAATCGACATGAGTTTAATCTTTTTCACATTCAGCTTTAGTCCAGCTAGTCTATCTTCTTTTGATCTTGAAAATCATTGCTTTGAAATCGTCTGCACTTTCCGCAGTTAGGTTTGTGTCATCAGCATACCGTAGATTGTTGATTTTTCTTCCTCCAATTTTGATTCCACTTTGAGTATCATGTAGTCCGGATTTACATATAAAATCTTCAGCATAAAGGTTGAACAAACATGGTGACAGGATACAGGTTTTTCAGAGGCCCTTTGCAACCCTGAAACAGTCCGTTTTCCTCTGCCCCCCCCCCCCCCCTTTTTATAAAAAAAAAAAGTTTCCTCAATGTGGGTCGCCGGGGCCCCGCCCCCCCCCCTCTCTTTTCTCCGTGACGTTTTCCCCCCCCTTTTTTTTTTTTCTGGGTTTTTTAGTATATTCCATCATTTTCTAGGGTGAATACAGTCGAAGGCCTTGGTGTAGTCTGTAAAACAGAAATAAGCGGCATTCTGGAATTCTCTGGCTTTTTCCATTATCCATCTGATGTTGGAAATCTGATCACGTGTTCCTCTTCCCTTTTGAAATCCAGCTTGCTCATCCAGCAGTTCTCATTCCATGTACAGTTGTATTCTTCTTTGTATGATCTTCAGCATGATCTTGCTGGCATGTCATCTCAAGGCTGTTGTGTGGGAGTTTGAGCAGTCCTTTGCTTGCCCCATGTTTTGGATAGGTACAAATATGGATCTCTTCCATTCTTTTGGCATTACATCTTCTTCCATATCTGCTGAAAAACAGCCGTCAATACTTTGATCGTGGCATCATCTGTTGTTCCTACTAGTTTAATTGGTAGTCCATCAGTTCCGGCTACTTTTCGTTTTTGCAATGACCATCTAACTTCACTTTCCATAATATGAGGCTCCAACTCACAGGTTTCATTTTCAGATCTCTCTGTCATGTTTTCTTCTTCCTTGTACAAATATTCTGTATAATCTTTCCATCTAATTTTAATTTATTCCCCATCCATAAGATTCTTTCCTTCTTTGCCCATCAACGTTCCAATCCATGGGCAGAATTTTGAAAGAAATTAGACTTCTTAAAGAAATCTTGTGTTCTGTCTCTCTGATTATTATCCTCCATCTCTTGGCATTCTGTTTGTAGATATTTTCTCCATCCTTCCTCGCCTTGCGCTGCAATTCGGCATTTAGCCTGGTGAATGTATTTCTGTCTCCAATAGCCTTCAAGCATTCCAATAGCTTTCTTCTTCATTCGACTATTGTCAGCGCTTCATTGGAGAGCCAATTCGCCTTCTGCTTACGCCTCACTTGTGGAATGTTCTTCTTGGCTTCTTGGAGAACTATATCGTGTATTTCTCCCCAGAGTTCATCAGTCTGTCTTTCGTCCAAGTCGAGAGCATTAAAACAATTTTCATCGCGATGGAATATGCATTTGATATATTATCCATGTTGTATCTTCGTGATATTTGAATATTTTTTGTTTTCTTCAGTTGGATCTTCAGCTTTGCCTGTTGTAGTTCATGATCCATCCCACAGTCTGCTCCTGGACGTGTCTTTGCTGACAGTACTCAACTTTTCCTTTGTCTGCTACAAAGTATGTAAATGGTTTGGTTTCGGTGCTGTCCATCTGGTGAAGTCCACATGAAAAGTTTTCTTTTGGGCTGCTTGAGCCATGTGTTCATGACACACAGACCAAAGCATTAGAAACATTAAATTACAGACACACACATTCACACACAATTAAAAAAAAGAGAGAGAGAGAGAAATTTAATTGAAAATCTCTCTCTCTCTCTCTCTCTCTCTCCCCCTTTATCTCAATTTCAATTTCAAATTACTTTATTTGCATGATTGTTTACATACAATATTGCCAAAGTATCAATTATAGATAAGAAATCAGAATAAAAAAATATATAATAATAGAATAAAAAGTCATAATTACAAAAAAAAATTTTGTAATGACAGTTGGTGAGAAAGAGAAATTGAGAGACTGAAGAGAGTCCATCCATCCATCCATCTTCAGGGTCACGGGGAACCTGGAGTCTATCCCTGGGATGGGGCACAAAGCGGGGTACACCCTGGACAGGGTGCCAGTCCATCGCAGGGCACAATCACATACACGCTCACACACACATTCATACACTACGGACATGCCAATCAGCCTACCATGCATGCGTTTGGACTGGGGGAGGAAACCGGAGTACCCAGAGGAAACCCCCGCAGCACAGGGAGAACATGCAAACTCCGCACACACA